GACACGTGGAAACAAGAGAGAGGCATTGTTCTGCATGTTCTGAACGTGGCATAATCTTATAGCAAGACCGTTATGGTCGAATTAGTATAAATAGAAGTCTTAGTATTAGGATTTCGTGTGTCATATCTATTGTACTAAATACTCAGTAAACATTCAAATTACCACATGGCTAGGGAAACGAATGCAAGAGCAATGTACGTATGATAGCACCACATGTTTATGATTTAATGAAAACCTTTTATCATTTCCAGCACTTTTCTTTATCTTTCTGCCAAATACCATTTACAAGTTTTCTCATTTAAAGTCTTTTTTCGAAATCTTTTCATTGATGCCTTACATTTAAATGCTTTCTTTCCATTTCAAACACTTTACATTTCAGAACACTGTCATACTTTTCATGCCTTTATCTTCAAGTTTTATCCTTCGAACGCCTCTTTTACTTAAAGTCATTTTACAGATTTCTTGCATTAAACGCTTTCTTCGTATTTCGAATCTTTTACGTTCCAGAACATCTTTTACATTAACTATTTTTATAATTCGAAGCCATTTACTTGTCTTTTATGCAATTTTACATGTCTTTACAATTAACATTTATTCATGCAATTTAGTTTCGCGCACATATATTTTGATTACACCTTTAGATCTTTAAGAGAGAAATCGAAATAAGTCAAACACCTACACAATACTCTAAATACCAACCATGAATACCTGTTCGATCATGAGAGTTACCCTAATGGCCAATAAGTCCTAGGATCAATCTAGTCGATCCTGCGAGTTATCAGAGAAATTGAATAACAGTCAGTAAGTTTATTCGATAGTTTGGAAGACTAGCGGTTGTTTACCAGAAATCACTGGAAACAAATTGGCACACCCGGTGGGACCAATAATTGGACATTAGAAATAAAGATTGTTGAGACATAACCATTATAAAAACGTTGGAACCTAAGAAATTTGCTGTTTTATGAACCTGAGAAGTGGTAAAATAACCAACAGCAACCAACCCTTATCCAGAAGAAAACGTTTGAACAAGATGTCTAATTCTGACAATCAACAAGGGGAACAAAATGCCCCACATACAACAGGCACTAGTGTATCCACTTCGATGGGAACATCTAATGTGATCCCTTCGAATGCACAGTCTGTTGCATCTTCAACCAGTAATATAGCCATTAATGGAGTAAGTGGCATATCAACTAATAGTTCGATCTTAGGAAATACTGGAATCATTGGTTATCCTGGGGGATTCGTTCCACCATCAGGGACACAATCCCATTTCGCTACTCCACTAACTAGACCACCCGGTTTCGATGGTAATAGAACCAGAAATTCCTCTTATGGAATGCCCACTTCCTTTATGGCAGGTTTACACAATTCCACATCGAATTCATCACCATAATTAGGGTCTGGATCTGGGGTGAATCAGTTTATGACGAATAACCAAGGGTCAGTGGGTTATAGCACAATGCCTATTTTAACCATAGAAAACCAGTTGGCTTTTAGGCAATTGATGGATGACAGTAACCATAATATGATAGGGGTGTTAGCACAAACTATGCAGGAAATATTTGCCCCAATAGTACAAAATGTGACTGTGACAAACAGGGAAAACGCTGATAACATGAGTCGAATAGAAGATTTCTTTGCTCCCCCAGAAAGGCGTAGGCAGAATCAGGCGGGAGTTCGAGCAAACATGCTTGTTGTGGAACAAGTTACTAACGACCCAATTTATAGACCACCTAGAGAAGAAGTTAACTTGGGGGCAAGGGCACCAAGGCTAGAAGCCCAAATAATCCCAGGCCCACAAAGAGAAATTATGGAACCAGGGGCAAGGGGCGAAAGGCTGGAAGTCCCAGAGTTTCGAGAAGAACAACCTAGGGGGGTTGTCATGGTGGGTCGAAATCAAGATGTTGATGCAGTCGTTCATAGAATTCGAAACGATAACATCTTGGCAGAAAACAATCTAACCACCATGATAGAGAGAGTCATGGCCCAGAATGGCCTCAACACAGGAATGAGGAGGCCAAATTATGCTTCTCCTATATTAGATTGCATAATGCATACTGATTTGCCAAGGGGATATAAAGTCCCTAAATTTACAAAGTTCGCTGGGGATACCAATGAGTCAACAGTCGAACATATAGCCAGATATCTAACCGAAGCGGGAGATATAGCCAATAATGAAGATCTCAGGATCAAATACTTCCCAAGTTCCCTGACTAAAAACGCCTTCACGTGGTTTACCACTTTGCCTCCTGGGTCCATTGATACTTGGGCTCTTTTGGAGAGATTATTCCATGAACAGATTTACATGGGACAGTCGAAGATAAGCTTGAAGGAGTTAGCCAGTGTCAAGAGAAAGTTCACTGAACCCATAGATGATTATCTGAATAGATTTAGGCTTTTGAAATCCAGATGTTACACAGTAGTGCCTGAACACGAGTTAGTCGAAATGGCCGCTGGTGGCTTGGATTACTCTATTCGAAAGAAACTAGACACTCAATATTTGAGGGACATGGCTCAGTTAGCCGATAGGGTTCGACAGGTCGAAAGGCTAAAAGCCGAAAAGGCCAGAGTCTTCAAAAATAACAAGAAAGAAAGGATCTCCTATGTTGGAACTGAAGAAGCAGAGGACTATCCTGAATTCGAATTCGAAGAGATCGAAATCGACCTCGCTAAATTAAAACAGGCACCACCTTACTCCTGCAAATTATTAGTTCCCACAAAAGGGAAAGAGATTGTTGAAAATGAGAAAAGTGACAAATTCCCAAAGAAGGTTTATACCTTCGATGTCACTAAATGTGACGAGATTTTTGATTTACTTGTCAAAGATGGCCAACTCATTGTGCCATCAAATGTCAAAATACCTCCTTTAGATCAAAGAAAGAAGAGAGGATTTTGCAAATATCATAGTTTCCTAGGCCACAAAACCTCACAGTGTTTTCTTTTCAGGGACCTAATCCAGAATGCAATCAAAGATGGCAGACTGAAGTTTGCTGATAAGGCAAAGATGAAATTGGACGAAGATCCCTTGGACGTCGCAGACACCAACTACTCCGAGCCTGCATGCATTGGAGAGATTAACATGGTGGAAGCTGAACAAATTGATGTCCCAACAGGAGAGAAAGGTACTAAAAACGAAAGTTGGGTGATGGTCGAAGTCGATAAGGAGGTCACTGAAGACATCCAGAAGATACCAGAGACTTCGATTGAAGCAGTACCTGTAGCTGTTGCAAAAGAAACCCAGGCTATTGAAGGCCAGGAAAATCAAAACCAAGAACTAACACAGGTCACTGAAGGCCTGAGGCTGGAATTGGAGAAAGTCCAAATCACGAAGCCAACTTCCCCTCAGAAGGAAATATGGGACACTCTAGGGGAACCCAGTGGAAAATTTGACTATTTGGTCAAATATTCTGCCCCAGAGAGTTCGAAGGTCCACATTGAAGATATAAAACCCACAGGATGGGGAAATGATGAAGCTGAAGGGGAGGATGTTGAGGTAAACATGGTGGACATGGAAAGACCTCACTCTGAGATGGAGGAGGTAGAAAAATACTTAGAGAAAGAGAAGTATAGAATGGAGGATAATCACGCTGGAGATGCTAGTCTCAAGGATTACCTCATGGCATGCCACAAAGGAGATATAGGCATGATATTGTACCCTAGGTGCAGCATCCTCTGCAATCAGAGAATCGCTGTGAATTTCGAGAGGGTACAGAAGGCTCGAACTGGCAACAATTGGCGCCAGGATAACCAGCTTTTCAGGTGTTATCCCAAGGCTGGAGAAAGTTTGCTGGAATTTGTGTTTCACTGCTACAAAGGGGCAACCAAGTGCTTGATTTGCCCAAGGTGTTATGCCGTGTATGATCAAAGCATGGCCAGAGCCTTCGAAACGATTCCCTTCGCCCCTTGCTGGAACCATCAAGAAACTGTCCAGATGGGCCCATGTTTCGACAGCGGACACAAACAACGAAGGCCTGATAGCTCTCACCCCAAGGCTGCTCGAAGAGTGACTTTCAAACTCCCTGCTGAAGTGCCAACCGACAGATGGTTGCAAGTCAGAAATGACAAAGGCAAAGACAGATGTAGAAACACCGAACGAAATGCACGCCATGCTATGACATACAGAAGGCAATTCAACATAGCAAAAAGGGAGGAGGTAAGATTAGAAAACTACAAAGGAAGGAACCCCATGTCGAGATCCCAGTGGCGCAGGCAACAAAGGATTCGAAAGGCTGAGAGGGAAGCTGTGGCAAACAAAGGGGTCACTTCAACAAAGAACCAAGGTGAATCTAGCACCAATAAACCCACACCAAAAAATCAAACTGAAGACAAACCTCCAGTTAATAGGAAGCTTTTCTCTGAAGTGCAACTGGATGAACCAAAGGAATACACTCCAGGCCCAGAAGAAGACGAAGATATGATAACAGATAACTTCGAATCGGAGGGGGAGTCTTCATTCAACCTAAAATGTAACGTGGTATTTGTGCTTCCCTGTGAATTTGGGTAGGAAACCGAAATTGATGAATATGAGGAAGAAGATACCACAGATTTGATGAAGCATAGGCCTGTGTGCTACTATGTGATGAACAATGGGGCTGTCGAGGAGCAAAATGCGTTCTTCGAACGTCCAGAACCTGCTATGAAGAACCATCTTAAGCCACTATTTATTCGGGCAAAAGTTGGTGCCCATGGTGTGAACAAGGTTCTAGTGGATGGGGGTGCTGCAGTCAATTTGATACCCCACTTCATGTTGAAAAGATTAGAGATCCGCGAAGGAGACATCAAGCCCCATAATATGGTTCTGTCCAATTATGAGGGGAAAGTGGGCAAAACACTGGGAGTGGTCCAGTTGGAATTGACAATAGGCTCAAGCTGTAGGCCCACCATGTTTATGGTGATCGAAGCCAAGGCCAACTATAACTTATTGCTGGGAAGGGAGTGGATCCATGGCGTAGGGGCGGTTCCTTCGTCAATGCATCAGCGACTAGTTCTATGGAGAGATGATGGAATCATGGAAAACATCGAAGCAGACCAGAGTTACTTTATGTCAACAGTCAATTTAGTTGACAAGAGGGATTATGATAAACATCTGGCAAAGATTGCTCCGTGTGTTCCAAATGACGAAATTAATGAAACCAGAAACACCCACTACTACATGACCCTTCGCCATGATGGCCTTTACTGGGATAGAACAATAATCAGTGAAGAAGAGGGAGTCGAAAGCACTATACAAAAACGGCCAGCAGGCTGGGACTTCGACAACCTTATCCATGACTGAGTCTACCTTTTTCGAAAGGATTTCGGCCTATATGGCTGAGAACGAATCAAAAGCGGCCTTAGAGGCTGAAATAAACAAATTAACTGTAAAGATGAACGAAGTAAGTGGGGATGGCTCGAAATGCTCACCCTTCAAAGAATTTGAGATGGATCAAAGGTTGGATGCCATCTACGAAAAAGAACCCTTAGGCTTCGAAAGGGACCCCATAGACTCAGGTGCCAAAATGTTGGCACAGGATCCACTCGAAGAAGTCAACTTAGGGGATGAAAAAACAAAAAGAATAACCTACATAAGTGCAAAACTTAGCCCAGGTCTCAAGAAGGAGGTAATCGAAGTCCTCAAGAAAAACAAAGATTGCTTCGCTTGGGATTATGACGAAATACCTGGTTTAAAGAGGGAGTTGGTCGAACACAGACTGCCAATCAAAGATGGCAAGAAGCCCATCAAACAGACTCCCAGAAGATTCGCACCAGCGGTTCTCACGAAGATTAAAGCTGAGATCGAAAGGTTGCTGCGTTGCAAATTCATCAGAACCACAAGGTACGTCGAATGGTTAGCAAATATAGTACCTGTTATTAAGAAAAATGGTTCTTTAAGAATTTGCATAGATTTTAGGGATTTAAACACTGCAACCCCTAAAGATGAATATTCCATGCCTGTGGCAGAAATGCTAGTAGATTCTGCTGCAGGGTTTGAATACTTGAGTATGTTAGATGGATACTCTGGGTATAATCAGATTTTCATTGCTGAAGAAGATGTTGCAAAGACAGCATTTCGTTGCCCAGGAGCCTTAGGCACCTACGAATGGGTGGTGATGCCTTTTGGTTTAAAGAACGCTGGGGCAACTTATCAAAGGGTAATGAATTCGATTTTTCATGATTTCATTGAAACCTTTATGCAGGTGTATATTGATGATATAGTCATCAAATCTATATCTGCAGAAACACATTTGCATCATTTGAGCCAATCATTCGAACGAATGAGAAAACATGGCTTAAAGATGAATCCCCTTAAATGTGCATTTTTTGTGCAGGTTGGAGATTTCCTTGGTTTTGTGGTTCACAAGAAAGGGATTGAGATCAACCAGAACAAAACCAAAGCCATAATGGACACGAAAGCACCTACGTCAAAAAGGGAGTTGCAATCTCTGCTAGGGAAGATTAATTTCCTCAGAAGATTCATTTCGAATCTGAGTGGAAGAACCCAAGCTTTCTCTCCATTGCTTCGTCTAAAGCAAGGCCAAGCCTTCGAATGGAACGAAGCCCATCAGGAGGCATTTGACAGGATAAAAAGATACCTCTCTCAGCCTCCTATCTTGTCTCCACCTTCATGGGGGAAGCCCATGAGATTGTACATATCTGCCTCTGAAGTTAGTATAGGTAGTATGTTAGCACAAGAAGATAGCAATGGTATCGAAAGAGCCATATACTATTTAAGTAGAGTACTAAACGATGCAGAGACCAGATATAGCAATTTAGAAAAGCTATGTCTCTGTTTGTATTTCTCTTGTATGAAACTCAAGTATTATATAAAGCCTGTTGATGTTTATGTTTCATCTCATTTCGATGTCATTAAACACATGCTTTCAAAACCAATAATGCATAGCAGAGTTGGTAAATGGGCTTTAGCCTTAACAGAATATTCTTTGACTTTCATGCCTTTAAAAGCTGTGAAAGGTCAAGTGATTTCTGACTTCATTGTGGACCATTCATTGGTTGAGCAAACTGTCATGAGTTATATCGAAATGCAACCATGGAAATTGTACTTTGATGGTTCAACCCACAGGAATGGAAGTGGTGTTGGAGTCCTTCTAATTTCTCCTGAAGGAATTCCAACAAAATTTAAGTATAAATTAGATGGTCCTCGTTGCTCGAATAACGAAGTTGAGTATGAAGCGCTCATTGTTGGCCTTGAAGCTTTGTTGGAATTGGGGGCAACTAGAGTCGAAATTAAAGGAGACTCAGAATTAGTGGTCAAACAAATTACAAAGGAATATAAATGCATAAAAGAAAACTTGATGATATACTTCGTCATAGTCAACAGGCTACTAAGGAAATTTGAATACATGGATATTCAACACATACCAAGAATGGAGAACCAAGAAGCAAATGACCTAGCACAGTTGGCTTCGGGTTATAAAGTTTCCACCAGGAACTTTAAGGATTTAGTTGAGTTAAGGGGTAGAGTTATGGCTACTAGATTCACACCATCAGATCTAGAAAGTATGAAATTGGGATATGCTGAGAAACAGGGATTCGAAATATTAGCCATAAACACTTTATCAGATGCAGATTGGCGAAGTCCACTGATGAGTTATTTAGCAAACCCAACTCTGAATGTGGATAGAAAGACAAAATACAGAGCATTGTCATATCTCCTCATGGGGAACGAATTGTTCAAAAAGACCCAAGAGGGTGTATTATTGAAATGCCTAGGAGAAAGTGAGGCATACTTAGCATTGTCAGAAGTCCACAATGGGGCATGTGGGGCACATCAAGCAGGCCATAAAATGAAATGGCTGTTATTTCGATACGGCTTGTATTGGCCTAGCATGCTCAAAGATTGCATAGACTTTGCTAAAGGATGTGAGGAATGTCAGAAACATGCAGGGATTCAACATGCCCCGGCAAGTGAGTTGCATTCGATCATCAAACCATGGCCATTTAGAGGATGGGCATTGGATTTGATAGGAGAAATAAATCCTGCTTCGTCCAAAGGACAAAAATATATCTTGGTAGGAATAGATTATTTTACCAAGTGGATCGAAGCTATACCATTGATAGTTGCTGATCAAGAGGCTATTATTGAGTTTATACAGAAACACATTATCTATAGGTTCGGATTTCCAGAGAGCATAACCACAGACCAAGGCTCTGTGTTTACTGGTAGAAAGATGCAAGAATTTGCCCAAGAAATGGGGTTTAGATTGCTAACATCAACGCCATATTATGCTCAAGCAAACAGTCAAGTCGAAGCAGCCAATAAAGTAATAATAGGATTAATCAAGAAACATATTGGTAAAAAGCCAAGAAACTGGCACAAAACTTTGGACCAAATATTATGGGCCTGTAGAACATCTCTTAAGGAAGCTACTAACACTACACCTTTCCAACTCACATTTGGTCATGATGCAGTGCTGCCAGTAGAAATTCATCTACAATCAGTTCGAATTCAGAGACAAAACGAAATCCCAGCTGCATTATATTGGGAAATGATGATGAATGAATTAGTTGAGTTGGACGAAGTTAGATTACATGCGCTGGAAATTTTGATGAGACAAAAAGAAAGAGTGGCCAGGACATACAATAAAAGGGTGAAGAAAAAAGTATTCATTATTAATGACTTAGTCTGGAAAGTCATATTGCCCATGGACAAGAAAAATAAAGCATTAGGTAAATGGTCACCTCATTGGGAAGGACCTTTTCGAATATTAAAAGTATTCTCAAACAATGCATACGAAATCGAAGAACTGTTGGATGATAAGCGTATCCTAAAGGTTAATGGGAAATATTTGAAGAAATATAAGCCACGCCTGCAGGAGATTCGAATAGTAACAACGTAACCAAGATATTATAAAAAAGGCCAAAATGGCAAGATGAGATGCCAAAATGGCGTTGTTCGAATATTACATATAAAAAACAAAATGGTAATCAAATAAACACGTAAATTTAGAAATAAGAATTATTTTTCAATCTGTTGAAAGTGCTTCGAAAAGATTCAAGTCTCTGCTGAGCGAAACGCCTGGCTCCTTCCAAGGTTGCCACTTCTCCCTTGAGTTGTTCTGCAGTTTCCATTTCTGCAAGCCCCTGGTTGAGAAGCTCTTCGAATTGGTTACCAACAGTATTGGTTTCGAAGGCTATTTGTTGTTCTTTAGCCTCTTTAACCTTCTGTTGAAGCTCCTGAATCTGCCTTTCCCAGAGAAGTATGGACTCAGCTCGAGCCTCATAATCAGTTTTCGCCTGCTTTAGATGCATAGCTTGATCCTCAGCTTCTTGAGAAATTTTCGAAGCTTGTTCATAAGCAGCATCCATTGCAATGCGTTTCTCTTGAACCTTTCTGGCAGCAGATTCATCTTGGAGAAGGTAACCAGTTACATTGTCCAGCAAAGACTGAAGATCGAACAAGATAGTACTAACTGGCAAGGAGCAGGTAGCAAGATTGACCTTTGTAAGTAACTCCTTCATAGTGTAGCAAGCAGTGCTATCTTGTTTGAGCACTTCGAATATATCCACATTGAGAATTGTTTTCCTGATCTTATTAAGAAGTACAATTCTTTCATCTGTGGGAAGAGGATAGCTGGTCGAACTTGTGCCAGCCCTAGCAAGTGGGATGTCCCTTTGAGCCAGCTTTGCCTTCATGTACCCAATAAGGTCATTTCGTCTCAGGAGTGCAAGCTCCTCGTCAGTCATTCGAGACAAAGAGGATTGAGGGAGTTCCACACGTAGGGGAGTCACGTCCATTTCAACCTCCATGGGTTTGTTGGTTGCATCACCATCCCCTTCATTCGTTTCATGCTCATGATCTTCTTCATCATCATCCAAGTCCACCACTTCGATGTCTTCTTTTTCACTGCTATTTGCATTGGACTCCGTCCCAGCAGTCGAACCATCATTGGCATCCTCCTCCTCAGACTCTTCGTCTGCATATTCTTCGTCTCTTTGGCCAGAATCAGCTTTCTCTCCTTCAGTTTGAGTGTCCTTTGGATCCTCTTGAAGGGTTTCAAGAGGGGACTTTTGAAGAGAAGCTCTTTGCAAATCCTCTGCAGATGTTTGAAGTGGTGTTTCGTTTGTCTCTTTCGGAGGAGGAGAGGTACTTTGATCATCCAGCTGTTCAGAAGTTCCAGCCAGAACCGCCATATTGGAAGAACCTTTGTTCTGTACAAGGTTGCTGGAATCTCCTTGAGGTGAGGAATTGAGTGGAGCAGCAGCTTTGGATGGTGAGTTTGAAGTAGTGGAAGCTGGATTTAAGATGTTCTGCAAGGAGCAAAAGAATGTTAAAAA